TACCTGCCACAATGCCCGGCTATTTTGTTGTTGTTCTTGTCATTGTCATTTTACAGCCTAGGTGCATGTGGCCAGCACCATAACCACTGAGCTATGGGCACTGAGCTTGGTTTTTCTATTATTGGTAGAGATGGGATCTCACTCTTGCTCAGGGTGCTCTTTAACTCCTGAGCTGGAGCAATCTGCCTATCTCAATGTCCCAAGTAGCCAGGACTACAGGAGTGCACTATCACACCTAGCTATGGAACTTATTCTTTTTAAAATCTCACGTATTCTTAGTTCCAAGCAAACTGCTCAACACACAAGTCCTTAGCAAATATAAGTAAATGGCGCTCAACAAATGTGTGAAAATTGTGATGTTCTCAGAGCCTTAAGTACCTCTCTCATGGTGGATTTTCAAGAATTCAATTCTTCCTTCCCACTTCTGACTTCTGCAGCTTTGGAAATCCTTTCTCCCTTCACTCCCCTCCTTGCTCCCCTCCAGGAGGGAAGACAGTCTAGGGCTGGATGACATTAGAACCCTCCTTCTGACCCTTGCCAGGGGACATCCTGGGGAGCCAGGTCACTCACCTGGTGAGGCAGGATCCCTGCTGGGCCAGGGAAGCGGCGTGCTTTGGCTCGGGTGGAGGGGCGGGTGGTCTGCTGGGGTGTCCGATTGGCAGCAGAGACCAGCTGCACCAGGTGGTTGGTGACTATGGGTGTCTGCAGAGCTCCTTGGGGAACCAGGGATGAATGGAGACCTTTTATGGTGCCAAGATGAGACTCAACAGAAGACACTGGAGCTCGGAGTTCTAAGTGCCTCGGTTGAAATAATCCAGAGCTAGTCCTTGAAGTTGTAGAACAGCAGGAGTTTGAAGTTCGAAGTCTGGGAAAATGAGGTGAGTCGCTTGACCAGACACTCAGAGAATGAAATGGCCGACTGGGTAACTGATTTTGAGGGCTGCTTTGAACAGGCCCTCCAGCAACCTGGAGAGGCTGGGGTGCTCGTATAGGGGGACCTTGTGGACACCCTTCCCAATGCGGTTGTTGAGGGGGAATGGTTGAAGAAGCTGGGTCAGGAAGGTTACCCATGATACCTGGTCTCATGCAGGGCTGTGGAGTTCTGCAGTGGACAATAGGACCTAGAGGCTTATCCTGGACTGACATAATACCTGCTATGTGAGTGGCAGGCCCCTTCCAGCAAGATCCACTCAGATCAACTACCTGGGCCTTTTTAGCCAAAGCTGGATTCTCCCGCTGCTGCTGGGCAGGCAGGGTTCGAGTGGCCTCACTGCTAACTCCAAGTTCCAGTTCCATATTTGGCCCATCCAGCTCCATGCTTGCCAGGACCTTATCAAATTCATCTTGTTCAGGCCCTTCAAAGCCACCAACCCACTGCTGTTGGCTCTCAAAGGTGACTAAGGAGCGTGGGGCTGAGGACTGGGACCTCGCTGGCTCTCTAAGCACCTCTGTCAGTGTTGCTTCTCTCTGAATGCCAGTCCAACTGCTGGAAGTGGAGACAGGGCTTAGGGGAGCTATTCCTGTGCAAGGTAGGTGGCTGGTGGCCTTGGTCATGCTGGAAACAGGGAGGCAGAGTCCCAGGGCTGGCAGATCCGAACCTTCAGAAAGAGCACTGGGGTGTAATGGCAGCGGCCTTGAGGATTGCTCTTGCACGGTCTCCTGTGGCCTAGAAGAGACAGTTCTCAGGAGCCTGGCATTCACAGGCAGTGAGCCAGCAAACTGGTTCTCTGCATCTTCCACAGCAGATAAGAAATCCTAAAAGGAAGCAGAGACAGAGTCTTGGCAGGTGGAAATCAAGAAATCCCCTTACTGTTCAGAGATGTGATAAGTACATGTGCAGATATATGCAAGCAAGTAAACCAAAGCATGGAAGGCAATGGTGGTGTCTCTTACCACTTTTGACCTCATCCACGAGCTTACCACCAGGCTTCTATTAGAAATACTCTAAGGCTAAACCCTCAGGTAGCCTTACCTTTTCTCAAAGCTTCTTTGAGACTGAACCTCTTCTTCAGTCTCCAAGTGGGAGCTGTGAGGGGGCAGTTTGGGGAGGACAGCAGGAGATGCAGGCGAACCAAGGAGTCAG